GCGCCCCTCCCAATTCGTGTCCGAGACTCGCATCCATAGCCTGAAACCCAGCCCCGTCCTCTTCGCTCTCCGCTTGAAAAGCTGCCTGGCGGCGTAGCTGGCGGCCGCGATTCCTGATTGATTGGGCTGGTTGTGTTATCCGAGCCTCTCGCATCACAGGTGGAGGCGTCGACTGCTCTTTCCAACGGCGCCGGGCGACCCCGGTCGATGGTGGCCAGCTGCAAAGAAACGTCGCCCACCAACGCGCGGAGTATGACGCGCGGCGCAATGACATTCAACCACCTGAGCGCCCGGCACCCGAGGACGAACGGCATGCCCGTCGCATGACTGCGTCTAGCGAGCACACCTTGAAACGATGAAATCTCATCAAACCAGCTCCCAAACGCCCAGGGCCCGCGCGGCTGCCTGCGCAGCTCCACGAGCATCCGCGCACAGTCTCTATGGCAACTGCAGCGCCTGCGCTTCCTTCAGGAGCTGCTCGGGGAGAATCATCTCGATGCAATTGACCATGTCGACCAGCGCCGACATTGGGAAATCCCCAACAGGCTGGCCATCTCGGACTCCAAATTGCGAGAAAAGGCGCTGTCACTCGAGCTATGGCGTCGAGCCGCGCCCCAGATCTCAGCGCGGCCGCGCTGCGTGATCTTGCCCCGGACTCGGCAGGAAGTGGCGGTCAGCGCGACGAGGCGCGCGCCTCCGTCAGGCTCGGCCAAGCGAACCAACTCCGTCGCAACCCTTTCGCTCGGCCAGGCCAGGAGCGCTTCGCACTCGTTGGCGAGGAAGGCGGCAAGGCGCCGTCGGAAGCGCGCGGCAGAGCTCGCGGGGCCATCTTCAAAGGCCCCGCCGCGGCGCGCGCGTCTCTCACGGTGGCGTTTCGCCGCCGGCGTCAGCGATCGAACGCAGGATCTCATAGAGAGGGCGGATCCCGCTGGCGCGGCGGGCCCGGGAAGCGCGCCCGAGGAAAACCTCTCGGGCCCAAGCGGTCCAGGCCTGGATCGAGGCAGCTTCGGCCCTCTGGATCCCGGCCTTCGCTGCGGCGTAAACGCGCAATATTGCGTCGGCGAAATCTGCGCGACCAGGCGCCTGCAAGCCGCTGCGGGAGAAACTCGACGCTGCCGGGGCCGAGGCGCGAGAGGGTCTTCCGACAGACGGCCGCTTTTTCATGGGGCGGCTGGGCCCCTGCATCGCGCGCTACAGCTTGGCATGCTGGGCAGGGCAAGGCCCCCGCAGTGCCGCGGCCGCTTGGGGGCGCCCAACCTCCTCCGAGAGAAACTTGTCGACCCTGCCGACGCGATCGGCCAGGCGGAGAGCCGCGGCCATGGCCGCAGTCAAGGGCGAGCTCCTTCCGAACCGCTCGCGGGGGCCCCGCCCTGTCGGGCCCGCCGGCCATATCGAGCCCCGCGCGATCCCATCTGGAGACCAACTCAAACTCCATCCCCGCGGTCACCGCACTCCAAAGGTCAGGCGGGGCCTCTGCTGCGTCAGCCTCGGGGCCAGCAACCTCCAGCGCGGCCTTCCAGGGATGCGCGGGGGGGCGCGCGCAGCCGATGGGCGGGGCAGCGGGGATGGATGGCGGGCAGCGGGCCGCGCGAGCCCGCGCGGGCGAGCTATGTGGCTGCGACCGAATTTCACGCGGGCAAGCGATGACAGGCGCCAGCTGACTCGCCCACTCGCCCACGCGAGCGACGGGGCCACGAGGCGCGAGGCTAGCATTCGGCTGGCCACAAAGTAATCGATGGCAGCGCCTGTTCCCTCCTGCCGGCGCGTCGCGGCCAGCGGCGGGGGCGGCGCTGCTTGGGCTGCGTCGAGCCGCGGCGACTGCGCTAGCTCCTCAATCCTCATAAACCTGGGCCACGGCCAGGGCTGGACAGACCCGGGGGCCAGGCGCGGGCGAAACGGAGCTGGGATTCAAAGCTGCCCCGCTGCCGTCGTGGCTCTCGTGCTGCAAGAAAGGGTCGATTTGCGAGTTGTCCAGGTCCTGATACCTAGCACTGGCGCGGCACGCGATCGCAGTGCCATCATATGAAGGCAAAGCATGCGAGCCAGCAGCAGGCCTCGCCCCGTCGGGCAAGAAAGGAGACACCATCATGACTGCTATGAGAATCTGGCGTACCGAGCGAACAAGCTCACGCCTGCCCCGCGGTCTTGATCTTCTTGTGCGCCCCATGCAGCCCTGCCAACTGCCACGTGAGCTGTTCCAGCAGCGGTGCGGGGTCGTTGGGCACCTCGTCATCTGGCACCGGCGCGTCCATGCCCACGCTGCAGGGGTGCTCGCGGCAAGTGGCTGCGTCGAGGCCGTCCACGTGCGAGGTGGCGTCGTAGTCGACCTACATGCGGTGGGCGCCGTCGTCCGCGGCTGCGGCTGCCGCCGCTGCGGGCGTGCCAGAATGGGCGACGTCTCGCTGCGAACCACCATCTCCGTTGCCTGCCGCCTCGGGCGTGGGCGGCTGCTGCAACGTGTCAGGTTCGTCCTTGAGCTTGTCCACGACCGCAGCCAGGGCAACAAGATCGGCGGCCAAACGTTCGCCTCCGCCCAGGTTCCGCACGATGCTGCCGAACTGCCCGACGGTCGTCTCGAGCCCTGGAATGAAGTCGGAGAGGGACGGTGGGCTGCCTTTCTGCGCTGGGGCACCTTGAACCACGACTGTGCGCGTCCTGTACTCCAGCTCGAAGATATGCCTGGCGGCCTCCGTCCCGTCGCGCTTGGCCTGCTCCAGCGCCTTCTGCGCCTTCTCCACTGCGAGTTCGGCCGCCTCGCGCTTGGACTGGCACGTCGTCTGCTTCCGCCTGGCGTCCTGCAACTGCCTCGAGAGCACGGTGACGTTATTATCCAAGGGTTTGGCAACATCCAGCTGCGCTTCCAGTTCGTCGCGCTGCTTAGTGCACTGCTCGCGGACCTGCAAGTCGCGCTCCGAGCTGTCGAGGAGACAGGACTTGAGGAACGCATTGATGTCGTCAAGGCGTTTCCTGGTCTCTGGCGCGGCCTTGTCAGCATTCCATTGGGGTAGGCACGCTGCCGCACTAGCCTGCCGCCTGGGTCGCGCCACCGCCGCCGCTGCCGACCACCTCTTGCATCTGCCTGCGTAGGTCCACCAGCTGCTTCGTAAACGGCTGCTCGCGGGCACTGGCGGCGGTGGCGGAACGTACGGTAGGAGGGCCTTCTGCTGGCGGGTGCCCCTTGAACGCCGACCCTTTGGGCACACCGCACTGCGAGCACCGCGTGTGATCGGCGTGACTGATCCACGGGGTGCCCGACGGCTTGTGCTCACACCACTTGCAATACCACGGCTGCGCGTTGGCCTGCCTCTGTTGGCGGCCCGACGTGGCACCGACAGGGAGAGCATTGGGTCCCTTGCGCTGAGGTGAGGAAGGGTAATGTCGACAGTTGTCCGTGGGGAGGACCACGGACAGAGACTGCACCGCCTGGCGGCTCGTGCAGTGGAGCGATGAAAGATTGGTTGTCTAGCCGCAGACTGGCGGTACCCACTTCTTCCCAAAAGAAACTCAAACCCTTGAACCAAAAAATGGCCACGGAAAAGGAGGAGGAGGAGGAGGAGCTCGGGTAGAGGTAAAGGCGTTCGGGGCGTCGTGCTGCAACGGATACATACCTCTACCCCCCTTTACGGCGAACGTGGAAGGAGGTGAAAAACCTCCCGTCGCGATTTTTCACAACTCGAGGGGGCCTGAGCTCCGCGCGCGGCTCCGGGGGGCCGCGGGGGCGCGCCAGACCCCACAACCGCGCCGAGCAGCGTGCCGAGCTGGCACGCCGCAGGGCCTCCCGTCGGGGAGGGCCACTCTTGCGCGCCGCCGAGGGAGGCAGGCGATTTGCACTCCGGGGGCGAGCGAATTCTGGGCCCGAGGGCGGAGGTAACACCGCTGCCTCGCTCGAACTCGCACCACGGCGAGTAGGCCCTCCTGCTGCTCCTGCTCCGCCTCCGCCCCTGCCTCCTGCGCTTTCCTTCCTCCTCCCTTTGCTACTGCACCAGCTGGCTCTCCTCCTCCTCCTCCTCCTCCTCCTCCTCCTCCTCCTCCTCCTCCTCCTCCTCCCACCTCTCTCCTCGCTCTTCCCCGGTCCCCTCCTCTCTGGTTTGGTCCTGGCTCCTTCGCCCCTCCCTCCACCACGAAGACGCAGCTCTGGGCAGGCGTCGCCAGGCAGGCCACCGTGCGACCTGCGCTCACGCAAGCCTGCCGGGAAAGGCCGGTCTACTTGTTCGCCGCTTCAGCGCTCGCCGCACGAGGGTATAACGGGGACGAGTACAGAGCGCATCCACAATTACCCTCCTTCATTCCTGCCTCATCTTCCTGCTCCTTCCCTGTTGTTTCATTCGGCAGACAGGGCAGGTCAGATAATCGATGCAGGTCAGATAATCGAAAGCAGGGTGAAAATTTTGAACGACGTCTGCAGCCAAGTGAACCCCAGCGGGCAGGCGCCAGTGGTCGCAGAATCATCCTTCTCCTCCTCCTCCTTCTCCTCCTCCTGCTCCTCCTCCGTCCTTCTCTTCTTCGCCGTCCTTTTTCCCACTTCCCTCCTCCTCCTTTGGACGTTGCACGGACATGAGTTGTGCAGCTGTTGCGCCTGGGCGGCACGTATGACATCCGATTTCGCCCTCCTCCTGCTCCTCCTCTCAGGGCACAGCGGCGAGCTGAGACAACGGCAACAAACCATCGGTTGCCAAATCCCACCCGGGGTCCAAACGCCCAAATTGTCTGAGCTGCTTCTGCCCGTGGCGACGAGGGACCCCTCGAAAGCTAACTACTCTTGTCTCAACTCGCCCTCCTCGGATCCTCTGATCCTCTGGTCCTCTGATCCTCCTCTTCTCTTCTTCTTCTTCCTCCTCCTCCTCATCCTCCCTCCTCTCCCTTCTGCGTTCTTCTCCTCTGCGTCATCTCCCCTCCCACTTCTCCTCCTCCTCCTCCTCCTCCTCCTCCTCCTCCTCCTCCTCCTCCATCTGTCTCCGACTCCTCGCCGACCCTCCTCCCACGTCCCGCGCCATGTGCCTCTAGGGGCTGCCTGGCACCAGGAGGGCGAGCCCTCTGTCGTCGGCGACGCGCATGGCAGCAGGGACGTGGGATCGCGCAGTGTCGCAGTCTCGCCACATTCGCCTCTGGGAAGGACGAGGAGGCAGAGGAGGCGGAGGAGGAGGGGAAGGAGGAAAGGTGGAGGATGTGGAGGAGAAGAAGCATGCATGAAAAGAAGGAGGAGAAAGAGGAGGAGAAGCAGAAGCCGGCGATGATGATGATGATGATGATGATGATGATGATGATGATGATGATGATGATCATGGCGACGATGACGATGGCGATGATGATGATGACTATGGTGATGTTGATGATGATGCTGATGCTGGTGGTAATGGTGATGATGGTGGTGGTGGTGATGGTGGTGATGAAGAGGTGGATACTGATGGTGATGATGATGGTGATGATGATGGTAATGCTGATGATGCTGATGATGATGCAGCGGCTGGAAAGGATGATGATGCTGATGATGATAATGGTGATGATGACACTGCTGATGATGTTGATGATGATGGAAATGCTGATGATGACGATAATGATGATAACGAGGTTAATGATGATGATATTGATGATGCTACTGGTGGTGATGGTGGTGATACTGGTGATGATGATGGCGATGGTGATAATGACAATGGTGATGATGCGGATGATGAAGACAATGATGACGATGTGGCTGACAGTAATTATCATGATGCTGATGCTGATGATGAAGATGATGATGATGCTTATGATGATGCTGATGGTGATGCAGATGGTGATAATAACGATTATGATGATGCCGATGATAATGCGGTTGAAGATGATGATGGTGAGTTGATTGCGGTTGTGAAGAGGATTCTGAGATGCGCGTGATGATGGTGATACAGATCATGGTGATGATTATGATGCTGGCGACGACGACAATGCTGAGGCGGACGGTGGTGATGGTGATGGTGTTGGCGCTAATGATGGCGAGGGTGATAACGCTGATGATGACGATGATGACGATGACGACGCCGATGATGCTGACGATGGTGATGATGATGATGATGACGATGAAATGATGCTGATGACAATGAGGACGCCGATAATGTTTATGATGACGATGCTGATGATGGCGCTGTTGGTGCTGATGATGATGATGATGATGATGATGGTGCTGCTGCTGATGATACTGGTGATGACGATGGTGATGATGCTGGTGACGATGATGACCATGATGCTGAGGACACTGCCGATGCTGATGGTGATGATGCTACTGATGCTGGTGATGGTGGTGACGATGGTGGTGGTGATGATGCTGGTGATGCGGATGATGCTGGTGATGATGATGATGAAGATGATGATGGTGGTGCCGCAGCTGATGATGGTGCTGCTGGTGATGGAGTTGGTGCTTGTGTTGGTGATGATGGCGGTGATACCGATGATGAAGAAGGAGGGGGACGAGGAGGGGGCGCACACGGGGAAGGACGAACGGGGGAGGAGGAGGCGGCGGGGAGGAGGAGGAGGAGGAGGCGAGGGCTTGGCGAGTGAATGACAACGACGGGCTCTGGGCGCAAATGGGGGCCTGGTGGATGTCAGAAACTTCGTTCCGAAGCCCGTCTGACTCTCTCTCTCGCTCTCTCGCTCTCTTTCTCTCTCTCTCTCTCGTTCTCTCTCTCTCTCTCTCTCTCGCGCCACCCTCGGCGCCACAGCGGGAGGGGCGAGGCCCCGCCGCTGGGGCGCATCGTTCTGTCCGCGGGGGCGCGGCAGCCTCACGCCGCCAGCCCGCGCCACAGGATTGCGCGCGGGCGGGCAGGTCGAGGCCTGGCCGCGCGCGCGCAGCGCGTTCCCAGCGGGGGCACGGCAGCCTCTCGCCACCAGCCCGCGCATCGGGACAACCTGCTCGCAAGCCAAGTCGCCAGGCACTCATCCTTTGGACGAATAGCCGACAGCGCCGCACGAGCCCAAGTGGCGACGAGGACCCAAGACAGGGCACCGACAGGAGCGAGTGCCATCCGAGACCCGCACGGGTCGCAGAAGCCACACACACCCCACCCCCGCGGGGACGGCCCGACTCACCCAGGAGCCCAGACCAAAGCCCCCCCCCCCCCCCAGGGAACCCCAGAGGGGTTGCCCGAGTGCCCCCAGGACGGCCCCGAAACGGCCGAGAAACCCGAACCGCATCCAGCAGGGCCGACGGTGCCTCAGAGCGCCGCTCCAAAATGGCCAGGCCCCTAAGCGCACTCCCTCTCACACTACTTGCCGCGCTTGGCCTTCTTGAGCTTTGCCAACAGACCAGGACGTCGCTCAGCGCGAGACTGCTGCAGCTCCGCCTTGAGCTGAGCAGCGCAGGCCAGCGTGTACCTCAGGCAGGCCCCAGAGGCGCGCCAGTCCCGCCAATGCCACTGGATGCACCTGGCGGCAGCCAGCCTCCTGCTCGCGCCCACGCGCGTGGCCGCCTCCACGTGCCCACGGAGGACCATGAGACGGCGAGCAGGCGAGACGACGGGCTGCCCCCCAGCAGGCGCGTCGTCCCCCAGCAGGGCGGCGGACTGCACCAGGCACTTCGTGTCGGGCACGGCGTCGGTCTGCAGCTCCTTGACCGTGCTACCCCTGCTACCAAAGTCGACCGAGTCGGCAGCGCAAGCCACGCCGACGGCACGATGACCATCTCGAGCTCGGCCCTCGTCGACACGACGAGCACGAGCCCCAACATGGCCCCCCCGAGGGGCACCGTGAAGATCGTCGTGATCTTCCGCCTCAGCCTCCAGCGCATCCGCAGCAGCATGACGACCGTCAAGACCTTCCCCCTCGCACTTCAGCACATCCTCGAAGTCGTCGCAGACGCCTCCCGAGACGCCGCCCTCAGGATCGAAGAAGGGCAGGTCGTCCTCATCGCCGATGCCGCTCTCCACGCTCGCGCCGCCAGACTCCCGCCCAGCAGCTCCAGGAGCAAGGTGTCCACCCTCCCCTACGTCCTGCACAGCACCGCCATGCGGACCAGCAGGGACGGCATCGGACTCCAAGTTGGTGTCGCACCTGCCGAGCGTCTCGGCCTCCCACGCCCACCAACGCACCCCGCTCATCACCAGTGGCCGCGACAGCGCCGGAGGGGGCTCGCTTGCCCGCGCGGCGCTGCAAGCACCCTGGGCGGCTGTGCAGAGGCGTCGCGGCACGCGGCGCCTGCAGAGGGAGGCGGTGCGTTGCGCGCAGCGCGGCCGCGCCTCGCCGCCACTCTCTCTCTCTCTCTCTCTTTCTCTCTCTCTCTCTATGTGTATATATCATGACCTCCCTGTCCCTCTCTCATCCGTTTCCTCCATCTCTCCCTCTTTTCATCTTCAGAAGGCGCCGATGCGTTTCCGAACAGCCGCGTCGTGCTAACAACTGGTTGGGTATTCGACGCGTGTCCATACTCTAGTTAGCAGGTGCCAGGTACCCTCTACCCGACGCCCAAAGGATGTACTCCACTTTTGGCTACTTTCTCGGATCTCTGCTTCACGTTCTGCTCTCTGCTCATCTCGACCTGTACTCTCTACTCCCCACTCCCTATGTCCTACACTACGCTTGCACTACCCCATACCCTATACTATGTTCTATATTATACTCTGTGCCACGCCATCGAGGAAGTACATGCACAGAGTGAAGGGTAAAACCCACCAGATAGTGGCGGGTAGGTATTACTTAGTAAACAGAAACGTGCACGAAATAACACATAACATAACTGGGACGTATACAGCTGAATATCGAACAAAGAGTAGCGAACGTGTGTAATGTCACAGAAGAGAAAGAGTAGAAGCACATAGTAGAGAGTGGATCGCCACAAATAGCGTCGAGCAGTTGTAATGCACAGTAGAAAAGACCAGGGTAAGGTGTAGACGTAGAGCGTAGGCAATGGTTTGAGAATGTGGGAGTCTGGGTACGCCGCAGGGGCTATATACTTTAGTAGGAGGTTGACGGGGGTAGAGTGTAGAGTTGCGGCTAGAGTGGCGACAATCATTTCGATTCCACAATAATTATGACTCCTTGCGTAGGGCGGGCAGTAGAGATTACAGTCGAGTGGGGTAGGGCAGATGTGTAGCAAACCAGAGCAGAGGATAACATTTTAGAGTCGATGGCGTATTATAGCGCGGGAGCACAGCAGAGGTGGTAGCTAATACTTGGATTGAGTAGGGCATGGGTAGTGCAAAGCAAGGTAAACAACAGGACTACAATACAAAGCGAAACGAACATAACATGCTGTAGATAATAAAACGGAATAATGTAACGTCTAGTAAGAGCGGGCCGTGTACCCGGAAGTGTAGACTGGGAAAGTGAGTATGTGTACACATTCGAAACTGGATGCCATAGCAGGGTGAAGTATAGAATAGAGGGTAATCCATAGCATAGAGCAGGAAATCGTGGTTGCAATCGAACGTCGTAGGGTAATAGGTATATGCATCGTGCGGACACTGTGCAACGAAACGGGGTGTACCGATACATCGATACAAGATGAGGACGTGGCTATGCAGGAAGGGAACGGTGGTATAGGGAATGATGAGGAGAAGGAGGAGGAGGAACGACGATACACAGCGAGGGTGAATACCGTGAGGGGAAACGGATGAGTGAAGATTCCTTCAGAGCAAAAAGCCGCGATACGTACTAATTCATTAAACCGTCTTTTAATACGGATCCGTTTGGTAAAGGATCCTCCCGCTATGAGTTCCTTGCGTAGACCAATCGCGGGCTGTTCCACATATGGCAGAACGGGCATTCGCCCCGCACGCGCCTGACCGTTCAGCAACGGCGCGGAGCATGTTCCTCGTCAGGCTTCCAACCATTTCTCCCATTCATTATCCAGTTCGATTCTCTCCTCCACATCCACTTGCGAAAGGGCAAGGCGGAACGCATGGGCGCGCCAGACTTTTAGGAACACCGTCAGGAACACAACGCGAACGCCCGCTGAAAAACCAACACGGCAAATTTCCCAAGGAAACTGTGGGGGAGGACGAGGAGGGTCAGCACCCCGAAGAACGCCACCGCATTCTCATTGAATTGTTCCCCATACCTGAAGAACGGGGTTTTGGTTATTACACCGACCACGCCAACTTCTTCCTCACCTCCCTCCTGCTCCTCGTCCTCCTCCT